CAATATTAAAAATAAGTTGGGCTGAAGTTGTAGCTCAGTGGTTGAGTGCTTGCCTGGAATGCATGAGGCACTGGGTTCGATCCTCAGTACCACATAAAAAATAAATAAATAAAATGAAGATCTTGTGTCCATCTACAACTAAAAAAATATTTAAAAATATGTGTTTGTTAAAAAAAATAGGYAAATCACCATATAATTACATAGTCACTAGAGCTGAACGATTTATCTTTCATTTTCAAAAGAAACTGACAAGAGATTGTCTAACTCTACATTTTCCTCTCTGCCTCCATTGTAACACATGAAAAAACTTTTTTTTCCAAAGAGATTAGATGGATTACCTGAAGTTACTTTAATGATAAAGCCCAGGTTAAAATTCTTGTGTTCTAATGCTCAATTTACTTCATATCCCGAGTTATATCAGATGCAATTCTTTCCTACACAATCTGATTATTTATGTCCCCTATGGTCAGAGGTGACCACCTGGACATGTTCCCTCACACTACTAGTACTGAGTTTTCTTCTTGTGGTTCTTCTTTCTGCCAGAAGGTTAAGATCTTGCTGCTATGTGAGATAAATCATACCTGGCAGTAACTAGCAAAATAGAAAAGGAACCAGGCAGACTATTCCTAAAGAATGGAAACCCAACAGTAAACCAGGACCAAGAAATGTCCTTTTTAAAAATTATTAATAGTAGCAGTAGTAGTAGTAGTAGTACTTGGGATTGAATCCAGAGGAGTTTTTACCACTGAGCTATTTTTAATTCCCAGCCCTTTTAATTTTTCAATTTTAATACAGAGTCTCACTAAGTTGCTGAGGGCCTCACTAAATTGCTAAGTATAATCTCAAAATTTGCGATCTTCCTGCCTCAGCTTCCTAAGCCACCAGGATTACAGGCATGCACCACCAGATCCAGCCCTAAGAATTTATATCAGCAGTGCTGCACTTCCCCCACATACAGGTGTCCTTATTCCTATCTAAAGCCCACCAGAAAAGTGACATCAATAGTGGCTGAAACTACTAAGGATCAAGCTACAATAGTTATTTTAAATTAGGGCTGGGGCTGTAGCTCAGTAGTAGAGCACTTGCCTTACATGTGCAAGACCCTGGATTACGACCCCCAATATCATAAAGCAAATAAACACCCTGCTACCTAATTAAACAGGAAAATGATCCTCAGAAATACACATCAATTCTCAACGAGATAATTCCTCTGGTAATATATGCATTTGATTTTACAGGGTAGTCCCTGGAAGCTACTCACCACATACAACATAATCTCAGTAGGGAAATGCATTTTAAATTCAAATAAAAAATTTCTTTTATAACTTGAAACTACTCTCCATTTATATAATATAGCACATCCCCACTCACACCAGCCTCCTTTCAAGTGCTCACCAGTGTTCCATGACACTGCCAACAAGCTGACTTTGTCTATTTTCTAAGAAGTCCTGTGATAACTCCTTTCTCCAAATTTATAATATAAAATGAATACATAAATCATAAAATTACTCAAATTCTTTATTTTATAGTCTTCCTTAAATACCTTAAAGTTTTCTTTCAAACAGGAAATTAACTATAAAGGCAATAATTGTTGTTGTTGTTTTTTAAAGGAAGACAAGAACAGGTCAGGAACTTTCTCCATCTGCAAGATTTTACAACCCCAATATTCTGTTGGAGGATYTTCCTTATTGACTTTAAGTAGCTGACCATATTCTTATGCAAAAATTTTTCACAAAAACTTTTCTAAACCAAATATGAATATCACCAATCAACTAAAACTGAATTTGGACTAAGGTCTAACATATCATTTAAATTAATTATCCATGTTCCATCTGTTTCAGAAAATAGGTACAGCCCCAAAAGTACTAATTTCTGATATCACCTAATTCAGGCAACAACGGAATGTTTAAATTGTTTATTATTTCAACTRTATTTTCCCTCATGTAAAAAGGGAAATGGAAAATGCACCAAAATTCTCTCATACCAATGATTTTCCCGGTCCTGAGACAGTACCACTGCTCATCACATCTAAGAAAAGTGTTTCATTATTAACTGACTTCTCATTATTGCCCAGCTCCCTGCTCAAGACTATTCTCTTTCATAAAGCCTTTCTGTGAATGCAGACTTAGCATTTAGGATCATAATTTACATTCTTGTTTTATTTATCTGGATGTATCTTCTTTGTGTCTATATGTAATCTTTAAAATGCCATTTAGATGAAAAATTTTTATCTTCTAGGCATCTTTTGCTAAATATAGCACTAGCAAAAGGCAAAAAAGCTTTACAGAAAACAAAAATAGGTTAATAAATCATATCTGCCACTTACTACCTGGATATCTTGTGTCTCAGATTCTTTAAAAATGAAAATTTAAAGAGCCCATATTGAAAGTTGTGACAATTCAATTTAGTACAGTAGATAAAGCACATGGCACAAAGACAACTTGATAAAAAATACTACTACTATTGATAAGAATCATCTCAAGCTGTTACATTAAAAAAGTTCAACTTCTTTCTTGCTATTAAAGTCTTTCAAAAATTATATGAAAATCTCTTTTCACTTTTTATGAGYAAACTTTAAAAACAGTCTTGTTTCCATCTCCACACCCCAGAAACCATGTCAGAGAACTTCATGTAGTAGAATACAGGATGCTAGATCCTTCTCTCCCTTTCAGCAATTTACTACCAAATTATAATTCCATACATCCACAGCACTAATTTACTAAAGTTGAATCATAACAACCCATGATTTTTATGTCAAAACTGGTCCAAGTATTGGTCATTTCACATGGTTCAACCTATAACTCCCATGCTCAATGARCACTCAGTTATTCCAGTCTGGGACACCATTGCTACACATAAGCAAGGACTGCCAAACAAGGGCTTTGAAATAAAGTGAAATTTGAAAGTTCATTTTTGTGCTTTTTCTTTTGGGCTCACCACCCACAACACTTCTGACACCAAGTGTGGGGCTTCGCCCCCACATACACACATGAACCAATTCTTCAGCAGTCTGATCACCAACCAAGTATCCCACAATTCAGTTCAATTCTGACATTACCTATCAGGACTAGCACAGACCCCACAAGTGAAAGGCTCAGTACTTAACTTGTACTGTCCTCACTTTAGATGCCAGTCATAGGTTTCAGGTTGCCACTGTACTTCACACCAACTAGATAAGGTTTGACATTTTCCTAGAACAACTCGCAGAACTCAGTAAAATAATTTACTTATCACTACAAGTTTGTTATAAGAGATACAGTTCAGGATCAGCCAAATGGAACAGCTGAAAGGGTAAAGAGTGGAAGGAGGTCCAGAGTTGCTGTGTACTTTCCTGCCTCACCATCCTCCATTGATGTTTTCTGGAGGTTTTTATTGCAGAGGCCAGATTGACTAAATCATTGTCCATTGGAGATTAACTCAATCTCCAGTCTCTCCTCTCTCCTCCCTTGAAAGGGAAGTTTAAAGTTCCAACCCTCTAATCATGCTTGGAATTTCTAGGGACCAGTACCCACCCAGAAGCTATCTAGGGGCCCAAGTCCCCAGTCCTCTCATTAGCATATAAAAAAAACCCATATCACTCTGGAGATTATAAGACTTTGAGAAGCCAGGAACTAGGGACAAAGATTAAACATTTCTTTCTTATCATCATTTAGCCTAAAGCTCTTCTGCCACCCACAAGCTGCCCCGGTGGTGGAAGCTGATCCTCACTCTGCGTGGTGTGGGCAGCGGCAGAAAAGACCACACAGACAAGGCTCTGCCACCTTAAGGGTCCTGCTTTCACACTGGAAGGCAAGGGAGGGAGAGAGCACGAGGGAGTAGTGCGGAATCCCTTTTTTTATAGGGAAATTAACCCAGGATTTTCAATATAATGTTCTTCACCAAATAAGGCAGAGGGTGGGCTGGTCTAGCCCCAATAAGTAACACCCAGATCCAGAACCTTGAGAAAGCAGGCTTCTTTGCAGAGCCAAGGTGGAGGCCACCGGCATCGGCATCGCAGCCCAGATATGGATCATGCAATGCCACACCAACACCACCATGGCGCAAGGCTAACAGAGGATGCTTAATATAGCTCATAATATAGCTTAATACAGCCCCCTCCCCCCACACTCTTCTTTACACTATAGAGTTAATACAGTGCATCTTGAAGAAATTTCCAAGCAAAAACATACATAATCTTTTGGAATTCRTTTTTAGACTGTGAAAAACATTTATCAGGAAGAGGTGATCATCACCTAAGGATCATCATACTGACAGGTAACTCCAAGCATACAAGTAAAGAACTTTGATATCTTTCAGAGGATGACTAGCATTTCAAGAGCCAAGAACATTTAAAACTGAGAGTGATGTCTGAGACACAAAAATAGAAGACAAARTTATTTGCTAGAGAAATTTTGAAAAGAATTCTCAATAGAATCTACCTCAATAGTTCTCAAATCTGGTTCACAATAAAACCATAGATAGAACATAAAAAATTGCTCCAACTCTAAGAGCTTAGGACCCTAACAGGTAAACTAAGAATGCTCTTTATGATTTTTTTTAATAGCCCARCATTTTATAAATAAGATGGGGAAGAATATGCTTTCCTAGACCAAGTAAAGTTCCAGAGGTTCTGGTCTACCACTGTCAGAAGGCTCCTACTATTCAAATGATAATCATGCAAACATTGTGTATAGTTACATATATAATTTCCATTGTAACAAAGTATCACTCCATATTACCATGAAGACAATGTATATACCAARAAACACTTTCTTACCTCCCTGTATGTCAAGTACTGTAGATAGTATTTCACTAGGACCAATATGGAAATTTTCAGTTACTATTGATAGTCCTACTTGTTTTTAAAAAAAAAAAAATCCTGACTTGCTAAATTCTAAGTGAAACATTAACTTCTTATTTTATGTTTTACAAATCAACTAAAAAATAAAACAATTAAAATATAATTCCTGCTTGGTTTTTATTTAAACATTTAAAAATGGTCCAATTAAGAAKAATCTTACTGTTCTAGAATCCGAGAATGGATTATATTCGTCAAGTCCTGGTGGAACATTTCTTGTCACCTGTGTAACTGATGGATCCTAGAATAAAATTTGAAGGAGAAAAAAAAATTACTTATCCTTTGAGATATAATTATATAATTTTTGCATTTACATAACATTTGCTTTATCTGTACTTTTGATCACTCAACAAAGTAAAAGAGGAAAATAAAGATTATCAGATGCATCCAGTCCCATTTCAACAAAGTTGAAATCTAAATCCACAGATCTCACACCCTCAAAGCAAAACAAAAATGGGTTAGATGCAAATCAGCTGCTAGTTATTCTATAAAGACAGAAAGTAGACCGCCTCCTAATAGCTGTGTCGAGCTGACTGCACAAGAGCAGCTGAACAAATTTTGGGTAAAACCACCATCCTTTCCTTTGGGCTCATGAAGAGTTCATGCTCGCCAGTTTTATAACATCTTCCATCAGTTTTCCCAACTGCAGATTTAAGTACCATATCACAAATCAACGTCGCATACAGCCAACATCTAGAGCATTCAAGATTAAGTACCTCTTACTTGCTTTATTCTATGCCAATATCTCTACTTGACTGTTTATTTTTCCACTTGATCCTAGACAGTCTCCCAAGTATATTACTCTACTAAACCAGCTTTTCAAATCTTTTTATATTGGGCTTTCATAAAAATAACTGAATCACAAAATCCCAGACATTTATTTTATCTCTCTTGATTATATGAAAAATATAATGAACATCAACAAAATCAACTACATAATTCATGTGAAAAGCATTTTACAAACTGTGATACAGCTTAACTTGCCTTCATAGCTCTAGTCTCAAACTGTAGCATGAATAAGGATTAAATAAAGTGCAAACTGCTGCCTCCCACCTGAGTTTCTGACTCAGGAGGTCTAGGGTGGGGTCTGAACATCTGTACTTCTGACAGRTTCCTAGGTGATACTGCTCTCTTTCAATACTGTACTTTTTCCAATCCATTTTCTTCAACATAGTCTTCAAAGTTACCTTTCAAAAATGTAAAGCTAATCTTATTATTCCTCTTCCTCTAAACCCTTTCCCTTGACTTTCATCCATTTTGGATTTTTAGTAGCTTTCCACTAACTGTGAGATAAAATAGGAATCCCTCAAAATGAAATACAAGGCTTCTGATCATGTAGCCTGGCCCTTGCCTATTTTTCCAGACTCATCAACTATCTCATAATCACCCTCACCTTGGCATATCCTTCTCCTTTAGCCAAATGAAAAAAGCTACTGCAGGAGCCTCAAACTTGGAAAAAAGCAAGTGGCAAGGATAAAAGGAAAAGCAATAAATAAAGACTTGCTTGACAATAAATTGGGAAGAAGGGACTAAAATGACTCTACTTACTCCCCAGGGTTCCCCATCCCCAAGTTTACCCAAAAGTGTTAAGAGAAGGGAGATTATCAAAAAGAGATGCATGCATCAGAAAGAAAATTAAGAAAACAAAAAATGAATATTTTAATCAAAATTTTCAAGTTGGCATTGCTGAAGTCAACCTAATTTAGTGAAGGAATCTGAGATAAGAAGCAGAGAGCTGAAGGTCAAATCCAGATGGGTTCAGCAGCAGTCTCAATCTGACCCTCACTACCACCCAATAAAAGCAATAACCTATGAGTCTGCAAGATACCATGACCTTCTTTTGCAATGCTTCCTCCAACTGGAAAACTCTTCCCAGCAGGGTCAGCCTAAGAAGCTCCAGGTATTATCCTATATGATAATCAATGATGTTCCCAGTAGGAGGCCTCTTTCCTAGTCACTCCACCCCAGGTTTAGTGCCCCACACTCCTCCATATTTATCTCCATTAGCATTTATTTTACTGAACCATAATTTTTATGCAGGTCTTCCCCCTCCCCAAGTTAGACTTTGATCTCTTTGAATCAATAAGGTTTTTGGTTTTTTATTTGTTTAATCATACATGCCTGGTGATACCGAATCTTCAAAGAGTATTACCACTCCTAAAAAGAAATAAAGCAATTCTTCAAGATAGTAGCAGCAGTAATAAAAAAGAAATGCTTTCTGAAAAATTGAACATAAATATGAAAATAGTTCAAAACATGTAAATGAAAAAATGTTTAATCTCATTCACAAGAAATACTAATTATACTAACACAATCATTTCTTACCTATCAGATTAGCAAAAAATCCAACAGTCTGACATAACCTTGACAAAGCAATAAGAAAACAGGGGTCTCAACCACTGCTAAGAGGAAAATCAACCGTCTGTTAGAATCTCTACAGAGGAAAAGTTGGGAACATGTAGCAAAATTACCTCTGGATTTATCCTTTAAACCACAGTCTTACTTCTAGTAATCTATTCCAAAGATATGCTGGCAAAAATATTGTATATAATGGCAAAAGGCTAGAAGCAACCTAAATGTATATCAATAGAGGATGGTATGATAAAATAGTGCTAATGTGTTACATTGTTGTAAAATTATATAAGGTGATATATAAATTGCTAAGGAATGAATGAATAAAGATGCAATGTTATCTTGTGTGTAAAGGTGGAGGGTAGAATGAATGTATTTACTGTGCTTTTTTAAAGAAAGAATACATCCAAAACTAACAATGTGTGCCYATGAGAGAAGAAGAGAAGAAGGAAAGAGTAAAGAGAGGAAAGGCTTGGAAGCTAGACTTCTCAAAACATACCTGTTTTGTAGTTTTTACTTTGGAACTACAAAAATGTTTTTCATTATTACAGAACAAAATTAATTCAAAGGAAAAAAGGAGAAAGGCAGAAGTAGGGTCATAAAGATACTATTTAGATATGAGGTGTCCCCCAAAAGCTCACATGTGAGACAATGCAAGAATTTTCAGAGGTGAAATGATAGGGTTTAGAGCCTTAACCTAATCAGTGGATTGATTCACTGATATGGATTAACTGGGCAGCAAGTGTTGATAGGTGGAGTGTGACCAGAGGAGGTAGGTCATTGAGGGTGTAACTTGGGCTTTATATTTTGTCCCAGATTAGTGGTGCTCTCTCTGCTTCTTGATTGCCACAGCTGGACTGCTTTCCTCTTGCATCCCCTTCCACCATGATGTACCACCTCATCTTGGGTCCAGAGCTATGGAATCAGCTAACCATGGACTGAACCTCTGTAACCTTGAACCAAAATTAACTTTTCCTCCTCTGATTGTTCTTGTTAGGTCTTTTGGTCACAGCAATGCAAAAGCTATCTAAAACAGTAACATACAGCTTAACCAACATTCATACTATTTATGTTGTTCTCTCAATGCCACAGAAATATACTGGGTCACAACTTTCATTTTTCAAATGCATGTACCCAGATACTCAAGTATCCTAAAATTTACCTTCCTTTTTTTAAACACTTTTTCTTTTAGATGTTGATGGACCTTTATTTTATTCATTTATTTATATGCAGTGCTGAGAATCGAACCCAGTACCTCACATACACCAGGCAAGTGTTCTAAGACTGAGCCACAACTCCAGTCCCTATTTAAAAAAAAAAAAAAAAGTATAACTTAGTACCCAAAAGACCCAAAATTAAATCATTCTTCAAATGTTCCACTTCCAACTATTGTAACCAAATTGTACTTGCTTCTTCTGATATTAATCCAGGCTRAAAGTTAACTGACAGTTTGACAAAATCATTGTCTCAAGTGAACAGAGTTTGCTTCTAATCCACTTGGAATCTTTCCTAATGCAGTATTAGATGACAAAGCAGTAGAGTCTGTGCAGGATATGCCAAGGCTGAGAATAGATTTAGGAAGTAAAGAACTGATATCTTTGAATTATCACATAGTTAATATTTCAAGTTAATTTCAATAATTGTGAATGGTGTTAAAAAATTCACAGCCTCTAAACTGGGAGGAGTCAATAGAACTGAAGATTTAAATAATGAGTGATCTTTTTAATGCCTATTAAGTATCCAATATTTACTAAAATTATTTCCAATCCTTGTTGTGATCCTTCTAGTTGGTTGTACAGTTTCATTTTCAGAGAAAGAAGCTGTAATCTTAAAACAAGTTCAGGAAACTTTCTCAAGGTCAATTAGTAAGTCTCAGATAAAATTCAAAACTAGGACTTTCTAATGCCTATATACATTTTTTCTACTGGATAAACTAAACAGAGTTCACCACAATAAMAACTTCAACCAAAAAGACAATGGTTGAACTGATTGTAAATGATTCCAATACTTTGTCAAGAAAATGTTATTCTTTTTCTTCAACACAATCAAAATGAAATTATTTCAACTGACAACTTGGTTTCTACTAGGGCAGTGGTTCTCAAATTTCAGTATGCACTGGAATCATCTGGAGGCCTTGTTAAACTCCAGGTTGGTGARCCTCACTCTGAAGGTATCTTTTTTCTAATTCAGAAGGTCTGGGATGGTAACTGAGAATTTGCATTTCTAACAAAGAACTATTCTGAGATAGTCTTATTTTATTGGCTTACAGGAACATACTAGGCCCTGTATTTTATTAACTTTTGAATAACAAGTAAGGCATTCTGCATACACAWTAAGGCTGTATCTTTATTTCATTAGTGAAGCCAAAGGTAATCTGCCAACACTTTTGTTATACCACTTAACATCACAGTCATAGTTCATTAAAAACCAGATGCATTATGAAAATGAGTATTTTTTTAAATAAGAGAAAAAGTAAAACTTTTCCATCTAGTATAATTAGCTTTTTAAAAATCTTTAACCTCAATTTCTTTATCAAACCCATCAGGGTAGTATATTTTCAATGTATTTTAAATGATCTTCTACATGGATGATTGTGTACAGCCACATATCATGTATCCATTACAATCTTTCTTAGCATATAATTTAAATTTCAAGGTTAGTATGCAAAACCTTGTATATCTTGGGTACTTTCTCTGCAGTAGAAAGAACACTAGTGGAGGAATCAGACACTGATTCTAACAATGACTAGTGACCCTAAGCAAGTCACCTAAATTCTAATGTCACTTTTCTCATCTTTAAAACAGGTAATTTGATAATCACCCTGGTCAGCTGCAGCTCTGATATCTTGTGCTACAGACTGAATGTCATGCTTGGAAAGTTAACTGCCTG